AGGGTTTTTATGGACACTGAGTTCAATAATTAACTATTCACACGATTACGAAGCTTTCTAAACGGTGCAATCCCACTTTTTAGGAACATTGAAAAAATGGCCGCTACTTCTTACCTGGCATAACTCTTCAATGAAGCATCATAATAAGTTGGGAACTTTACAGTTATAATCAGCAACTCTAATTAGCCTAGTGTAAAATTTAAGGCTGTTTTGTTTCCTTTCTGGGGCAAAATATGGCCTTTCATTGCTTAAAACCCTCCTTGAAGTTTCTACCGTAATCCTACAGTAATGAAGAGAAATGAGTGATTCGTTCTATACTGCAAATCTAAGTTGAAGCCAGCTCTACAAAACGGTACCTGAAGCAAGGCAAAAGACTTCTTGGGAAGAGAGTTATTAACGATCAAACGTTCGATACATACTTTTGGGACACCCTGTAATATAAGCCCTAGGTAAAAAGTGATAATCTAAGTAACGTATGAGCAGACGCTAGCAGCATATATATTTGTCATGACTACTGTTGTTGAGCATGCCATAGTCGTAAGAAACTAGTATGCGCAGCTGATCTGCTTGCTCCAAAAATTTAACACGATATTGGACAGAGCATTCGCGTTAATCGCGGCTGTAAAATCATAGCGGCAATTACTATCAGTTGTCGCGAGGTCAAATGCTCACGACTGAATGCTGAATGCTTACGGGCTGCTGCGATTTATCACCAAAAGGGTAGATTTTTAGGTAAGTTTTTTGTGAGGGCCAGTAGCCTGGGTCGAAATTACATCTGAGTTATTACGCTAGAGATTGCGAACAAGGCCATCATCTCATTGAAGAAAAAATAATTAATCGAAATCACGGGTTTACGGCTGCAAAGATAAATCACGGCTTCATTTGTGCACATTACGGATCATATCAAGACGTTCTTTTATTCTTGGAAAAAAAGTTTCACGGATCATGACATTTTTATCTAGACTAGTGAACCGATAGTCCAAAGTGCTAGATTGCCGCGCTCTTCGGGACCCGGTACCCCGTTATATGATGATTTTTAAATTGACGTTGTGATTCTTTATATATTAGGTATTCACAATTACGGGTCATGGAGAATCTACTACGTGAAAGAGTGTCATAAAGGGACTGTTTGCAGGACTGTATACATTCTATATTTTTTGAAATGATTAGACGTTTGCATATCATAACTTATAATAACGGGCTAAGGATGTTTACGTGACTTTGTGTGTCTGTCTGTGTGAGAGTGTGTCTGTTACGAAATTCGTAGAGAGTGTTCCAGCCAACCTCCTGGGGTAAAATTTTGCACAGCGCATGCAACCCGCATGAAAGTCTAACATGCAAAAGCACGAGCAGATTCATTGAGTGGATCACTCAGAAACTGCGCGTCAAACGGATCCACTTTGCATTTGGGCCGCATAATTGGGTCCTTAATTCCACTTTTTGCAAATTAGTGGATGTTTATGCCAAGTAAAACGCAAACCATGAACTTAGACTCAAAAAAGTGATCAAAAGTCCATTACTTTAGAAAAACGGCGCCAAAAAGTATTGGCCGCATAAATGGTCAATTTGCCAAGGTTTTACCAGAGCATTTGACGAGATTTTTGCACAAAGATCTAGCTCACGGTGACTGCTGTTCTTATTGCAACTGTCAAGACCATGGGAAAATCAAAAATCTGTAAAAATTTGCGTTTGTTCTCCTGCAAAAATTCTCAGCCATGCGAAATCACCGATTTCACATAAAAAGCTTTCGGAATGAGTAGTTGTTTACATTTTGTTCGTGATAGTCGGCATTGCTCGGTGAGTTCCAATGCCATCATTATGCGAGAATGAGTAGGGCCTAGATAGTAGAGCCAGTGCGAGCCTCTGCGAAGCAGAGGTGAAGCACTGGTTATATATAACCAGTGCGTCACCTCCGCTTCGCGAAGGTTCGCACTGGCTCCCTATCCGTATGCCTTTCTCAGGTTCGCACGAGAATGGCTTTGAAACTCACCACGCGATGCTGAGCATCACAAATTAATCGTAAACAACTGTTCATTCATGACGCATCTCCATGTGAGATCGGTAATTTTTTGGAAAAAAACTTTGTTGCAAGGAAACAAATGCGAATTTGAAAGGATTACTGGATTTATTGTTTGATGATCGTCATAAGGATAATAGTCACCTAAGGCTACATTTCGGTGCAAAAATCTTTTTAGTTTTTCCAAATAAAACCTTGCCAAAGCGACTATCTACGCGCTCATCAATTTTTGGCGCTATTTTCGCAGAAAAGCAAACTTTTTGAGTGCTTTTTGGGCTAAAATTCATGGCGCGCAAAGTTACTTGTCAGGCAATTCATAACTTTGCAAAAAGTCGAATTAGCGACCCAGTTTTGCGTGCCAAAAGGCGCGTGGACCCGTTTGACGCGCAAATTTTGAGGGACCCGCTTATCGAACCGGCTCCTCCTTGTGCATGGTGGGCCTACACGCTGGCACGGTATGCTATGCAAAATTGCAGCCCGATAGCTTAGTTGCAGCTTCCTCTATGAATTTCGTGACAGACAGATTTTCACACAGACACACAGACACACAAAAAAAAAAACAGACGGCCTTAGCGCGTTATTATAGTAGGATAGGTAGTGTGCTCCTAGTGTCTGATTAGGTGAATATTCATACAATATATCTACTATTGAAGAAGAACTCTCACATTCTCTCTCATTCCCTGTAGAGTCATTTCCTAGACGGTCGGCGATATTTTGAAGGGGGAGGGGAGGTAAAACTTTCCAAGACCTCATTAAGGTGATAAGAAAAAATTTTCCTAGAACCTCCATATCAATCCCCAGGAGTGTACGGGTCCTAGCTTGACGTGTAATTTTGTTACAAGCAAAAGATATCTTTATTTACAAGATTTTGTTACAGTAGGGAAAGGGAAAAGAAGGAGGGAGAGCGCAGAAGCAGCCTTCTGATGCGCGGTCGTCAAGGGTCATTGGCTTCTGGTTGGCTTCCTCGGTCAGCCCAGAGAGCCGCCGGCGGAGCATGGGGCATAGCTGCGTCCCGACATATCAAGGTGCTCCTATCCATTTCTCTTGATGGATTCCCCCGCGAAGGCTGTCAGGGTTAGACTGAAAACTTCGTACTCTTAAAATTCAAATGAGTCCTCTTTTGTGGGGAAGAAGTTCCTGATTGGGGGGCAAACAAGTACCACAACTGCTTACTCCCGCGCGCAATCTACAGTCGTATGCACTCTTGAACGAAATGATGGCGTTTAGTCGCTGAGGCATGGTCAGGACTGAGATTACGAGGAAGAACTGGTTGTATGAGCATGAGTGCTTGCTTGCGAGTCTGCATGATGCTTGAGGTGGAAATTCAGTGAGACTACACAGATGTCAAAATGCCAGAGGGAATTCACTAATTGCAGTCGCATGGAAAAAGTTGTCATATGGATTGACGGCAATAACGAAGATGACTTGTGAAAATGAGAGTTTCAATGAATTGGGGGCAAAGAGGGCCGGCCATTAAATGAGTGGGACTAACTCCAAATATATTATGCTGTTTTGATGCAAGGTTGTAATTTTGATTGATTTGGAAGAATAGTCAACCATACGATTTACGCTACTCTTCCATTTCCCTGGCATTCTACATTACTTATGTCACAAGTAGTCACCACGAAAGGCTGAGAGGTAACATAAGCTGTTGGTTATTGACGGCTTTCCTTTCTTGATTTTGGCTAACCCTACTCTGCGTCATCGTGGGAAGCATGACCAAAATGATGTCGGCAACAAGCAACAATAGCCAAAGAGTCTGTGAGGGGTTTTCGGCATGCTGAACTGCCAAGTCATACTCTTTCCGCTTGGAAGCTCATCCTGTATGGTTGCGGCAATTATACTGTAAGAGGTCAAAACCAGAGGGTTGACTGAGTTCTGGTCCCGGATGGGGAATTTCCACTGATGCTCGCTGTGCAGACTACGAATGGCAGGTCCAATTTGTCGGGTTACGGTAGGTACGCGGTGTATGGTTGGAGGCACTGTCCACCCAGATTCTCGACTTCCATGTTCCGGGGCCTTCTCACGTAACTGATTCCAAATATGAAGTCGAGAATCCACGAAAACCCCAACAATTCCGTCTGGGAACGTTATATCGAAGCGATTTTCTCGCTTCCGAAGCGGCATTTGCTCTGCGACTTGTGCATTGGCTTGATAGGAGGCCTACTATCACATGCTGCCAAAAGCTCAAGAACCTCAACTTAGGGCGGATGGTGCCTTTAAGATTGCAAATCTGCCTTTGACTTTGTGCAGGGGGAATTCGAAATACTAATCAGAAAAAAACCCATTCAATCAGCATGCTGAAGCCTTTTCGTGCGGTTTTTGAAAACGGCGTGAGAAGTGCAAAAGAATTTTATTTATACACCTCCAAATTTATTGGCCAACAATTCAGCAAAATAAAAGAGATGAATGCGACTTTTCAGCAAACACCTGAGTCTTGACCTCAACATCCCAAACTCGTCGAGCGTTGCTGCGATGAGCAAAGCTCTTATCTTCAACCTTCTTAGACCAAAATCAGCCAAACATAGAATTTTTTCCCTATCATATATAAATAACGTAACTCTTGAGGCAGACTGAGGAAAAACAGAAATCGTGATTGGTTTTTCAACGTTCACAGGCCAGGTTTGACATCCATAACTTTAAAATCTTGGGCCTCAAACCCTGGAGTGATGCTAACACGAGAGTCGTTGCAGTCGACGGCATTTCCGGCAATATCGCTTGCTTCATCAACTCGAGTTTCATATTTCTGACATCTTTGAGAAAACATTCATCTTTTACTTTAAGGTGTTAGCAAAGTGGCGCGAATAGGTTTTACGTGTTGGAGCTAGGCGGAATAATCTAACTTTCCTTTTTTATAGAGAAAGCAGGTTGATAGAAAATTGCAAATTTTTTCATCTGAGAACGCATCTGCTCTTCGTGCTTGTGAAGAGTTCGTTCAGCCACTGTCAGAATCAAAAAGAGAAAGTATCAAATAAATACGTACCTTTCCTTAGTTGCCATCGCAGCAGTTTCTATTGTTTAGCTTTATAGTCCCAAGATGTGAAGCCACCTGAAGCTGGTTATGGTTTTGATAATAGCATTATCTTTGCTTAGATATCAAGCACTCAAAAACGATTCCATAGTTTGACTGCTGCACGTTTGCCTCGACACACGCCTTGAGAGAGATTATGAAACAACTTTTGATGTATCCTTGATTCATATTTGAATCGAGCAGGAACGTGAATGTTTAGTTTAAGGTTGCACTGTATCATAAACACTTATGCGAATGATTGGTCTAGGCACCTCTTTCATCTATTTTCCTGACGACATTTATTTTCTTGATTAGCGCTTCCTTTAACAAGCATAATACTTCTTGGAAACAAACGATGAAGGGATATCAGTTACAAACGTATGAAATTAGCACGTTTATCAGATTCGACACAACATCAATGTGGTTGTTGTTTCCGAAATCGGTTATGTACTAAAATCATCTTTGTTGTATTGGAGTACTCGTACTATACATATTACTCTTGACATCCTCTCTCGTCGTCTTGGTTTTATTATTGGATATTGGATATTTCTCAGCATCAAAATGGTAGGGCTATCCATGATTCTCATCTTCGCATCTGATGCCTACAAACGTCTATCTTTTAGAAGTTTCAAGTTGAATGTCATAAATGACGGCGATAAAATATCAGAACCACTTACAGGACTCGAAATTATAAAGGACTAGCTGGCATACCTGGCTCCGCCCTGCTCTGTCATAACCATTAATAAATGTCTCATCCCTATCCCTGTGCAATCTTTCCATGTGGCCACCCCCTACATACCAATTTCCTATCCTCACTCTGTCGAAACAGCGTGCCCACGTACTCCTGTCCAACTCCTTGCTCAATCTTTGCGGAGAAATCGAAAAATCGATGAAAGTGATAGATAGTTCCAAAAACTGATGTCGTATTCATAATCAGCATGCTCACTCATCCCCTGACCAACTCCCAGCCCCTTATCTCAAGTTTTGCGAAGAATCGATTAAAATGATCGATGACGAAAAGTAGCCTACGACACCCGCCCCGCTCCGAAGTGTATGTGTGTCAAGTTTGATACGCATCGGTTCAGAAGTGGAATTTTTTACCAGAACATACGTCCAATAGACAGACATACAGGCATACGCACAAACAGAATTTCGGCTTTATATATAAGATTATACCTACCCCTTAATAAGTTAATTCTCCATCTGTCAGGTTCCTACTGCAGTGACCATAATCCGGTGCTGAATTGGAGGATTGAATTTGTTGAAAGCACTTACTGCAAGAGATACGGGCAATTTGTAGAGGTCATTGAGCGAGAAGATTAAAATTGCGTAAGAAGTTCTTACAAGCAACTTGTCAAGGCCAATAATACCAAGCACAACAACTGGGTTCTCCACCTTCGCTAGTAAAAGTATGACAAATAAGATTACTCCAGTCCACCCCGTTCACTTGTCTTCTCCCTTCATATCGTCAACGGAGGGCTTCGCATTCCTTACATCATGAAAATCACGAGACGACCCGTGTCATTATTTTTATGGAATAGCTATTAGATCAGTGGAATAGCGAGTTGCAGCTAAGAGTAGCCTGAAATATCCAACGTCAAAAACGAATGCATGCGAAGTTTGTAGCTGGTCAAGAATTGGCGTCTTTGTACAGAACAAGCAGTTTAATAGATTCTAGAGGTTGATTTATGTAATAGCTGGCGATGCCTGCTGGTACGCTTCTTGTGCCAGAGTCCTGGAAAGAGATTTTGATTCCCAATTTTAGCTCCATTATTTTATCATCCTTTACCCTACACCCTCAGCCGCCTTACAAATATAATATTTCCGACCAGGCTTGCTTCAGATGACCGCATACTGCTTATCGCGAAATGGCTGTAGTTTAGTAAAAGTGGTTTGGTAGCAGATAACAAGAATGACACATTTAATTTTATTGGAGAGCGCTAAAAATTAAACAGACAGAAAGGTGGATCACAAATGGCCCAAAATATTACAGAGCTCGAAATACCTTTCATTTTTGTACATAGGCTTACCTCAGAACAGATTCTCTTCCTGTCGTCGCATCATGTCTTCGTGAACATGATTGTGGGGAGATGATTTGACAGTGACTGGACGGTTCTCTAAAGATGTGAGTCAGGGCGCTAAAAATAGACTGTGACATTTGCGTGGCCAATGGCCTAATTACAAGAAGTCACTATCGGCCCACCAAGATGAAACAATCAATTTCTGAATTTTATATGCAGAAGTATAGATTACTCATGTATCCAAAACTCGTGATTGAAAAGTACGTTAATCATTCCTTTTTTAATGATATCTTCCGACTTTCGACAGGATTATATTGACTGGATCACATGCTGCTGATGAATTCGATACAAAAATCTTCTTTTTTCTTATAACATTGATGGCGTTGCCCAAACGTCAAGTACCTTTGCAAGTCTTCGTCAGCCCAGTCTTCTTCGTCCTCAGGGACAAACTACCGAATTTATTCATGACTAGCTGACCGCTCCGTACGGCGGGTGGAGGACTATATGTAGCCGAAAAGGAGCGGCCGCTGCGGTCAATTGCAACAAATACGCACCCTTGCACGTACACGGAGGTGCGTCTTTGCAAGAAGTTTGCGCGGGACTTTCCCACATTCGAGGACGTACATATAAGACTTTGGGCTCTGTTAGGAGCCTCCACTCCCACACGGCCTGTCACAACACTATGATAAAGGTCCCATCCCTATCCCTGTGCAACCTTTCCCTGAGCCCACTTTTACATGCCAATTTCCTATATTTTTGTTTTCGACAGCATGCCCACTTACACTCTTACCAACTCGCATCCCCGTAGCTCAAACTTTGAAAAAATCGATAAAATCGATAAAAGTTTTCGACAATTCAGAAGACTAATATTATATTCATAATCAGTATGCTCACTCACCCACCATGCCAACTCTCAGCCCCATAGCTCAAACTTCGCAAAAAATCGATGAAATCGATAAAAGACAATCTTGAAAACTAATTTTACGTTCGTAATCAGCATGCTCGATTATCCTCCTCCCAGCCCCTCAATTCAAACTTTATCAAAAATTGATAAAAATGGATAAAATCGATATCAACATATGAGGAAAAGTGGCCTACGACCCCGCCACCCCCCCCCCGTGCATGTATGCAGACTCAGACACTCGCGGTTAAGTCGCGCAGGGGATCCGCCCACAAAATGGGCGTTCGCACCAAAATCCGGTGGACCGGCGCGAGTCATTATTTTAGTTTCGTCCCGATTTTGGTGCGATTTTCTTGCGACGGGCGAGGAGATTTCGAAATAATGCTCCCATAGGCCAATTCTTCCCAGCATTTGTTGCTTTTTCTCTTCCTTTTGATTTGAAAACTCTTTGAATTGTTATTTTGTACTGTCCAGGGATGACTCTTGTCATATTGGCTGGTTGCTGACTTTTTAGCTTCGTAGCAAATGACCATGTTTGCATATTCTAGCGAAACATCTCTTTTCATAATCTACAAGTTACACTTTTGCAAGTTGTTACATTGTGACTGTGCTTCTACAAATATATGATTCCAGACGCAAATATTCCTCAAAGCTGCGCGTACAAAGCAAATGCCTGTTGATGACCCTTTCGTAAATGCGTTCCGCTTTCGACTTTGAGAGTCGTAGATTTGAAAGATGAGCTGGACAAACGTGGTTTGCCAAAGCTTGGAACAAATTTGTTCTTCTGGAACAGTTGAAGGAGGTGTATATATTGGTTTCGTTTTTGGTGAAAGCTTTTCTTATGAACTTCATTTGCAGTATATTTGCGAAAACGAACTACAGAATTGCGTTGATAAACCTGAGTCGCAAAAGAAAAGTCTTCCGCTGAAAGTGGTACATTTCTTCTATTTTATTTAAACCTATTTCTGCTTATTTAGGCTTCTCCGGAAAATCCGCTGGTTGCAGCTTACATTGTCCGACAAGCCGAAGCTTTAGAAAGACAAAGGAATGATGCGGGTGTGCTGCGTTTTCAGCACCGCGTATCTCTTTCTGTCTTTATTTTTTTTTCTCTTTTTCACTTGCTGGTTTCTACGGGTCTACCCTCATCTGTTTTATTGTCTTTCATCCAACGCTAGCTTTATGATATGGTTACCTTATCTGAGAACGAGTCCGCATCACACCCATTATTTCTGTGGCTCGAACAATTTCAAATCATGCTTTTGCTCCCAGTTTTAAATCATGCTTGTGGATGCTGGATCCAAGTTGTTCAGCATCAGCATGAAAAAGTCTCTTTGATGGTTAGCTTCAATGCTAGCAATTTTAGAATTTTCGAAGAGTAATTATTAGGTTGGCTCGAAAGTTCTGGGACATTTTCGAACTAGATCTGCTATTTCTTGAAACCTAATGCATATACATCAAATTGAGGTACCATTCGATAGAGCAAAGCAAGCTCTACAAGATGGTATGCCAAAGTTCGCACCAGCTTCAATCCACCATAAGTTTGCACCAAAAATCTGAGTCGTACTGAAGTTCAAAAAATCGAAAAAAAATTCATATCTTTGTTCAAACAAATCCTACGGATCTCCAACTTGCTCACAAAAATTGCGCACCACATCGGACACTCATATGCACCTTTTCTGTATTTTTTCCTCATCTGGAAATCGAGAAAACGAAAATTTTCGTACTTATATAAAAACGAAGCTGTGCTGTTTCCATTCATGTAATTGAATAGTACAAGTCCTTGGAAGTATAACCCTAAATTTTCAGCTTTGTAGAGGCCCTACTTCCCGTAAATAAGCTAATTGAGCTCTCCTCAGATAACCGCCGGGGGCAGGCGGCCATGCGAATTTTGAGCAAGAGCGCACCGAAAAAATGGTTGGTTGATTTTTTGCGGCCCGCTTGCAGAAATTTGGAAAAAAGTTGGCGAAATTAAAGACGAATGCTTGAAGAACAATCGCGGTTTCTTTATGGATTAGCTGCGGCGCAGTGGCCGCATTCTCGCGGACTTTCCGCGAGAATATGCAAAAATTTCGAGGGCCGCACGGTCCTTTGTGGAGGACCGCGCAACCACCAGGTACTTTCCGCTGAGAGAAAGTACCTCAAACTTGAGTAATTAAACCAACGATAACACCTCTGCCACACAGAGTCTTACCTGCGCTCGACGTACGCCCGAAAATACCTAAAAAGAGTCCGAGCGCTTGCTGAAAGTTTGGCCAGCGCTCGCTGGAAGATATTATTTGACGAGCGCTCGCAGAAAATTCTGCATTGCTGCCCGCTGGCAGAACGCGGAAGTACCGCCCGCTGAAGGTTTGGCCACGCCCCAAAATTCTGCTGACCGCCTGCAGAAAAGCGCGAGTTTGCGGACCGCCTGCCCCCGGCGATCATCTGAGCAGAGGATGCCGTAATTGGCTTTTCTGACTAATCAATAACATCAGCCTGTCGTAAGTAAATCTGCTGGCGAACAAGTTACATCGACCAATTGACTGAATGCAAATGGTTTTTGGAGATTTTCAGCCAAGTTTGTGTGAAAGCCTACCGAGTAGCCTTTTTTCTCGATTTGCTTGAATTAACCAACTTGTCTACTCATCTTATTTTTGGCTATACGAGTAAATGATGCCCCATGAAACGTTTCGTAGATTGGCTGAATGTTCAAACATTTTGGTGGAATTTTATCTCATAACCGCTGTCAACTTCATAAATATTAGGTCAAAGGTGAGCTGGAAAAACCACTGAAACAGAAAGAACAGAAGGGAAGATTTCATAGTGGCAATATGGAAAGTAGGACGAACGAATCAAACGATCAAAGTGAGAATGACGTATTAGAGCATCTAAAGTTACATATTGACTAAACAGCTCCCGCGTCTTTCAAAAGCTGCACAAGTTTTCCATCCTTCGCAGCAGCAGCTGTATCATCTCCTCCGCCAAAGAACTTCTGATTGATGAAAACGCGAGGGACTGACCGTGCTCCAGTCATAGCCTAAAGATATTGTTTAGTACTGTCGCAGTAGCCTGTTCATCTGTTTGAGAAGATTTATGGAATGACAAAAATACAAACATTGCAGAAGGATTTCCACAATTGAACGAGCCGGCACACTCTTGGCTTGGAGCAGGTTCATAACTTAAAGGCAGTGGGTCTGCAGAACTCAACAACTCAAAATTTAACACGCTAGACTCCTTATTGCCCAAGTATGAAAACAGTGCAATCCCGGTTGCACAGCATGCCTTCCTTGCCGAAAAAATTGCTCTCGAACTTACACGCGCAGGCCATTCTTACAGCATCCGGACGAGTTGGCAATTTTCTTCTCATCATTGGAGGCTGCCCGCCGCAGTGCTATAACCATTGGGTCCTGCAAACGATTCGGCGTCATCAGCCTTGCTGCACTAGTCCAATTCCAAGGGGAAGGGCATTGCAAACGCTTATTTCGGCGTTTTCAAACTCTCAAAAGTGGATTTCCTCAATCAGAGTATTAAATAACCCCAAGTAACCGAAAATTTGACTAGGTCGAGATTTGCCGAGCCACTGCCTTCAATAGCTGTGTTTTTGCAATCCCTTGTCAGTAAATTTTTTCGTCGCTTCGGTCTTTGATTTTTGTCTCTCTCCTATGTTTTTGGTCTGAAATAACCTTTTTAGGACATTCTCCAAGTTTCATTAGCATGTAGAGGATAGAGGTCGCGTTAGGAGTCTGGAATCTCTGATCGGCCGTATCTGCGCATGCATTACCCCTTACAAAAAGATTTGATACCATTCTTGCACGGGTAGATATGGTTTTTCGCTATCTTTTTCTCATTATGCAGGTAATTATAGCCATAGTTCTCTACTAAGCTGCGGAGGAGTTCAAAGTTTCCGCCCTCGACTTTGCCGTCGTAACTAACGGGCCAGGCCAGCAATCCCGCCGTGGCTGTCAGTGAGAATCGCTGGCGGTCCTCATTCTACATCCCAAGGCGATCGCCTGTTGAAGGTAAGAGGCAGCCTAGTAAGTCTGTTCTTGTCGGAGAAACCCCGCGCTGGTAACGAGACCGATATTGGTTGCTTAGGACACCGGATCGTGTAACAGTCAATCTACGGCCGACTTTCAAAAGGGTTGCGATTCTACGGGGTGTGAGAATGAGCAGAATATGAAATGATTTCGAAGAACACCAAGGGATTGCTTGAAAGAGAATGGCCTTGAAGCAGGATCCGAACCAGAGGTGCGATGGGGGAAGCCGGGTCCATCAAAAGTGAAGGTGGTCCCAGCTACCACTGGCCGGCCAAAAGTGAAGGTGGAAGTGCCGAACACTCACCTCCCAAAAACGTCGAGGGGAAAGGGGGGAGCCTTAACGTCGACTGAGCCTATCCTTCCAAGTCGCTGCCGCCAGTGTGCGGAAAATAAGCAAAACAAACGCAAAAAAGATTATTGAAAGCATAATTTTATGTACGTTTTTAGTAAATGGTGTATTGGGAAGTAAAAGTTAGCGGAACTGTACGGGTCTTATTGAGTAAATTTTGCCATAACTACTGCGAAGAAAGTAGGTCGACTCAAGGAATAACCGTCAAGAACCAGAATTTTGAATAATCAACTAGTGAAAAATCATGCGAAATTTCCACTGTTATAAATCTGACGTATGAAGATGTCAGCAGCGACTTCATAGATTTTTAAGAGTAGGCAATGCTCTATTGGATGGTGAAAGAATGAAGTCGGTCCGAGAAATGTTCGCCGAAAACCAGAATTCTAAAAAATTACGCCATTTTAGCGTGTTTAGCGACAGCTGGCAGTTCAGCTCTTAGCCGTACCGATCCATCGAAACAGCGCTGAGATCCAGGGTCTTGAAAAAGCAGCTAAAAAAGCTGTTTGAACATCAACAGCTCATAACTTCTTCAAAACTGCATGAATAATGTTGCGACTTCATAGATTAGATTCTTCTCATCAAGAGATTGCAGGCGATATATAATATGTGAAGGCTTAGGGCCTTCTACACTTATACCCGAGGGAGGAAACATTTCATCACAAAGTCTCCTCCAGCCCACTCCAATGTATTGGATGGAAGCCGCCAGGGGAGACTTTGTGATGAAAAGTCTCCTCCCCCGGGCATACGTCGTAAAAGGCCCTAAGCCCCCAAATGTTATTCAGGGTGTCCCAAAATAATGTGCACATTGTTTGATTTTGAATAACTTTCTTATGAGGTCTTTCGAGAAGCGGTAAGCGCCGTTTTGTAGAGCTGCCTTCAACTTAGATTTGCAGTACAGAGCGAATCACCGATCGCTCTTCATTACTGTAGGATTACGGTAGAAACTTGAAAGAGGGCTTCGGGCCATGAAAGGCCATATTTTGCCTCAGAAAAAAATCAAAACAGCCTGAAAACTTTTACACTAGGCCAATTAGAGTTGCTAATCTTGACTGTAAAGTTTCCAACTTTTTATGATGCTTCACTGAAGAGTTATGCGAGGTAAGCAGTAGCGGCCATTTTCTCAATGTTCCTAAAAAGTGCGGTTACACCGTTTAGAAAGCTTCGCAATCTTGAGAATATTGAGTATTGAATTCAGCGTCCCTAAAAACCCTATTGCACAAGTTTTCGCATCTTTTTGAAAAATTTTGAAACGGCAGCTTTTTCCACAGTGACACCTTATGTTCCAAGTTTCTACCGTAATCCTACAGTAATGAAGAGCGGTCGATGATTCGCTTTACACTGTAAAACTAAGTTGAAGCCAGCTCTACAAAATGGCGCTTACCGCTCTCGGAAGACCTCATACTTACCCTGTAAAACTTATGAAGTCGCAATTGCTGACATCTTCAACCGCAAGGTTTATCAAAGTGGAAATTTCGCATAGTTTATCGTTATTTTATTATTCGAAATTCTGGTTCACAACGGTTACTGCCTGGATCGCGTCCAGCGAAAAAATAAAAAATTTTACTCCGTGAAGGTGATCACCCTGTACCAGCTCAAAAGTGAAGGTAGGGGGAGAATCGGCTCCCACTATCGCACCTCTGATCCGAACGCAATTTATCTCGTCCGACTGGTCGCTGGCAGCAGAACAGCTTCATGGGAAGATCTACGAAAGTATACGCAAGGCAAGATAATGCAAGCAGCCGAAGGAGGGACTTTTTGAAGATGCAGGAGAGACCTAGGCCTGTAGTAAACCCCCCGTATGTGCTGACGTATAGCTCGGAGCCTGCTGTGACATGTGCTGACTAATGTGCTGCGAGGCAGGCAAAGCGGCTATCCTTTACCATTGCCGCCGGATGCAATCAATGCAAGGCGTCAGGGTGCTCGCACTTTGTCGCTATGTGTCACCACATATCGCGACATATAGCGACATGTGGTGACGTACAAGAAGACGAAATACTTTGTTCAGTATGGAGACGCAGAGACATAGCGCAAGACTAGAGCTCGACTACGCCAACCTCGCAATAGGTCGCACATGCACACAGTTCTCTATAACGCACGTCAACCGCAATCAATATCAACAGCTGATAAGCGCCTAACTGTTCGAGCAATGCGCCTCTCCCTATTCTCCAAGTACTTCTGCTGCTGCCGCTTTGGTATTTGAAAAAAGGTGAGTTTATTTTAACTAAAAAGTATGTTAGACTCATACTTAGCCATATTTTTCGTACTTATGCAGTTTTTCTTCTTTATTTTTGCTATGCACCTTGTTTGAGCAAAAAGTCCCTTCTTTGTGCCAAACTTTCGCAAATTCTTGATCTTTTCATCATTCTTGACAGTTTCGACCACATATCTTTGCTGGTTGCTGTTCGTTAGCCATGCACCTCTCGTTTCCTTTCGTGTTTATGAGAAAGGACCGTCTGGCGTTATGGCTAATGGAATAGCCCATTTTTGAACGGACTGAATGCTGATGATAATATTTTGATTTTTCTTGTACACTTTCACTATGTATTCTACTTTAAATTCCATTTTCTTTCGAAATGAAAATTCTAATTTACGTTCCTTTGCAAAATTCAGCTTGCCAGCAAAAAAAGATAGTGTCGCCTGGAACTTGTACCCCCAACGTCTAGCACACCGGCCTCTCACACTGGCACTGCGCTAACTACAAGCTATGTTGAGTTGTTGAGCTGTTTCACAATAATTGCAAAAGTAGTAGCTAACCCTTCAACAATACTTACGGATAAGGCATGCATATCGTTTTCCCATACTGATTTGCTGCAACTGCTCTATTTGCTACATGTATCCTCTCCCTAGCAAAGCACGGCGTAGTAGCATACAGCGCAGCGAATTTGCGCGCTGCTAGACCATCTGTGTCTTGGCACGGAGCTGGCACGAATCTGGCACGGGCTGACACGCTCAATTTTTATTGAGGGCGACAGTCAAATATGGTCAAAGGTGCGCAAACATAAGCATAATTCTGTAAAAGACATTGATCAGCTGCGGTTCCTCATCAAAACTGATGTAAACATAAGATAGTAAGTCAAAAATGAAGAAATAGGCGCGCTCGCGCGAGGATAGTCATTTATTGGATTTTCTCTGATTGATTTACCTGCTTTGGCAAGAATAGTATGTTGCATTCTTGCCTTGCAAAGCAAATACCGCAGTGCATATCGGTACTCATAGCGCAGTGCGTGTGAGCGCTGTTATCGCGATCATCAGCGGTTCGATGACGCGCAGAGACGATCGTTTTGCGGCGCCCTCCGGATAGCTCGCTATAGTCTTGCGAGATACTCCGAGCTATCGCGACATAGTCCCTCTATGTTGTGACAACCAGGAGGGGTTTACTACGGGCCCTTGCGATTATTACATACCGCTGGCAGCACTACTGAACAAAGAAGGGGATCCGGCTTCTTAAAGATGATAGACAAGATCGATCATCATCCGCTTACCAACCTCTGATGTTATTCCCGCTGAAGAAGTACCACCATGCATTCTACGTGCTGAAGTGTAGAAAGCGGTCCAAAGCATGAAACGTCTACGGCTCTACAGCCAGATCACCTCCGTCAAACTTCTGCTAGCCGGGAGACACGAGATTTTCCCGTCGCATTTAACTCTTACCTTCAGAGAAGAAGAGCACTGATGTAATCTTAAAAACAGTCCTTTTCTTCAAGAAAGGCAAAGAAGGATCTTCGGATCTACCGTCTGAACATGAGCAGATTTCCGGATTGTTTTACTTCTTACAAAATTTCTATTCATTAATAATACAGTGTGACAGCCCCCACACTCACATTTTATTGGAGTTAGAGGCAAAAGCTTGTTTCACATTTTGAAAAAAAAACCTTTAGACGAAAGGTAAAAACTCATTAGGCGCACAAGTCATCACAGAAAGAGTAATAAGCACAGCGTACTTTGCGATCAGACTTAGTAGGAAAAGGCTACGCCCACATCAAGTTGGAGATTCTTTATGACTTCTCATAGGTTCTTTCATACTGCGCAGCAGCGCGGCTTAATGCGGCGCAAGCCGCAGGATCCAGCAGCCTGGCGCAGCCTGCTGCTTGCGCCGCTGAAGTCGCAGTGGAATTACGCTCACGGCAGCACAGCTTTCTCCTGTTATGGATGTATCTCTATGTTTGCTGCACGTTCGTGTTCTCTGCGAGTGTTCCTTCACAGCTGCAATCCTTTCTCTGTTTTACCTTGAATCATCATTGATCAAAGGTTGATCGATCTTCATTCAGTCAATTTGTGTGCCTCGATTTTTAAATTTGCCCAGAGTGCATCATGACTGACTGCAAACTGCATCATTCGACTCTATAATTTGCTGTTGCTAAAAATCTCTCATGCAAATACATTATTCATTGAAAGGCTTTCTTCATACTATCAGACTGCAGTCGCAAAACTGCTGTGTCGACGTCGCTGCAGTTTCATTGTTTCCTTCGCTCAGAAAACATCATTAGTCTGATTTTCGGCGCTGACTTCAGCTACAGTATATAGTCAATGCGATAAAAAAAGACGACTCGGTGTCTCTTACTTTCCCTCTGACTATTAGTACTGCTTATTAATTCGTATTTGTCGTTTATACTTAAGGTACTTCACTGTATGCTTCGCTATTTCTCTGTATTTGAATAATGAAAACTGATGTGAATGAGCGTCAACACTGAACATGTTGATAGGTGAGTATCAACTATATCTGTAAAGGTTGCTGCATGACGAAGGCGCAAGGCGATATTAGTTGAGCGGGCGCGAACGCGACGCGCGCGTATCTTCACCGTTGTAGATCCCGCACCTCATGCGCTCTGCGGCTAATAAAGCCGCGTTCGCGCTCGAAGATATTGCGCCTTCGTCATGCAGCAGCCTATAATTATGTTGTGAACAATGCTCTAAAGTAGGACCCTCATTTGTATGACATGGCTTCATCGTTCAATAGTGAGCATGTCATTTGGGTAGGCGTTTCTAACCTTCTTACTTTTTCTTATTAAATGAGAAAAGGTCTTTAGCAAATTACCTTTCCTTTACAGTTGAGGTATCAGGATTATCAATTTCTGAATTTATGAGACGCCTAGGTCATCAGTATCATTAGTCAAAAATGCCGATATTGGTACATTGAAAAAAACTAAAAAATAAGGTAAAATTTCAGTTATGTTCAACGGTTGAGAAGGCCAACACATCATATTAGTCACAGGACGACTTTTGGTTGATGAAAACAAAGTGGAGCGAAATAAGTTTGGAGGAATTGGGGGAGGGGGAGTCAAATTCAACCTGAATGAAGAATCATTCGATCAACCTTCGATTAACAATGAGGCAAGGTAAAACAGAGAAGGGATTGCTGTAAAAAAAATACTCGCGGAGAACACGAACGGCAGCAAACATAGAGATACATCCATAACAGGAGAAAGCTGTGCTGCTACTGCAACGGTGCAGGACGCGGCGTAGTATGAAGGGACTCATATTATGAAGAATCAAACGTTTTTTGAATAAGCTTGGCTCCGACAAACCTGTAGATAGTCCTGAATCTCTGAGCAATCAGGCCTCTCGTCTATATTCACACATGTCATTGCACCCGGCTTTACATTGCAACTTTCCAGCGCAGCCAAAGCCTGGAGAACGTTTGCATGGTGCATGTCATGACTTTTATCTTTTCTACTTAGGAGTCACAACTCACTTTTTGGCTATAAGGACAATGTACTTTGGCAAAGACAACGACTTTGTTGGATTTCAACATACCGTCCACGAAGGCTTTCACGGACATCTTGAATAAAATAAAAAAGCAAATCGATGCGGCGATGTAGCGCCATTACGTGCCAATGCTGCTTTGCACGTTGCCATAGGAAAAAAAGAACACAGGCAGTTTAATTGGGAAGTAATAAAGATTATGCATAGAAATAAGTGACAAAAGTACAAATCTAAGAGTACGAGTATTTCGTGATGCTTTGGAAGCAAAAAGGAGATAATAGCATCGATGTGAAGATTTGAAAGAACGAGCAAATGACTCATGCTCGGATGCTCAACGCATTGTGGAAGGCCGAGAAGAAGCAAAAAGAAATCCTTGAAAACGTATTGTGTTTGTAAAGTGATTTTGTAGCTTCGGCAATACTTTCATGATAAAACAAAAAGTGATATAAGTGATGCAAGTCAAAATATTTGAGGCATAAAAGAATTTTTTGAATGAAACGTTTAATTTCAATACTAATTCTTGCCTCGTTTTTTTTGGAAGAAGAATCATGTATGCATCGAAAAGACTAGATTTACGTCACTCTAAAGTATTGCAGATTTTCAATTTTGCTACAGAAAATGTGTCTGTACATGCTTCATTTACAATTCGTGTGCTTAATTTGAGGAGGTGCACAGTATGATTCCTGTGCCGTGAAGGCGAAGGTATTTCAATTCAAATTTTACTTTGTTAGTGTGTTTTAGAGGTAGAAGGAAGAATAAGCATCGATTTCAAAATTGGAAAAATGAGCAAACTTTATGTTTGGATACTCGACTTGGTGAATGACTGTGAAAAGCCCTCCAAAGCCGAACGGGAATCTCTGATAACATAGTAAAGCTTGGCAAATGAATACTGCAAGCTTAGCGAAGGTAGATACACCACCTCGAATGATACAAGAAACTGCATCTTTCTTTACTTTCGCACGTTTCAACAATACGTGCACACGTACTAATAAAACACGGAACTTCATCAGTCTAGAAAGGCGCATGTAGTTTTTACGGGGTTATATTGTGAATGAGAACCGGATTGCAAGTCTGTTAAATTGTCGCATAGTCATACTTCCTGATGTGTTTTTATCTGCTGCGTGCCGTGCATGAGGCAATGGCGATCCCAAAATTTGAAAATGAGGAGGGGAAGGGGGAGAGGAGACAACAGGCTACAGAAATTTTATCTGAAAATGAGTATAGCGTATGGGCAGCATTTTCAGCTTTTTGTTTGATTTCTCAATGATTCGCGGTGATCGACCGTCTTTTTTCTTCGTCAAGCTATTTTCCCCGTCAAAATTGATAAAATATCCAAAGCGGTGCTGATGATCTGACCGATAGTGTGATATGTTTCTGATAAGAACAAATAGTGTATCGTGAAAGTTTTAAATTTCATAACTCATTTGTTCTAACCAGAAACATGAAACTGTTCAATAATCAGCACTTTGGAATATTTCCATATTTTCAAAAAAGGGGGAAAATCACTTTGGAAAAAGACCGCCGGGGATCATTGTTCCGATGTTCCGATTGTTCACTGTTGAGGAATAATGTGCTAAATGATATGATATTCCACTTGTTGATGTCAACGAATCAGCTTAACTTACTTAGATACTTAGATGTCCCGTCCTCACGTGACGTGCGGGCCCCAGTACAGAAGTTTCCATTGATCCCTGTTCCTCGCTTCGAACATCCACGATCTTCTTGGTCGTCGTCGGTGGCTGCGTCCACGAGTTCCAGGAGAATATCCAGCTGATCCGTTCCACGAACACGTCTGCCCATCTCGTCGGTGGCCTTCCTCGAGGACGTTTGGCTTCGCGAGGAATCCACTCAGATGTTCTTAGTGTCCATCTATCGTCTGTTCTTCTCATTATGTGACCGGCCCATCGGTGTTTCGCTTTCGCAACGTATTTCGCTGGGTCACGAAGACGGGACATTCTTCTCATATCCGTGCTGCGAAGTCCGACTAGATGTTGCTTGTGTCGGGTCATCTTCAGAAGACTGCGCTCGAGCGCTCTGTGGGTGGTCCTTAAAGCATTCGACATGGCTACGGTGTCGGCCCAAGTCTCAGCTGCGTAGCAGAGCGCTGGGAGAACGGTTGAGTCGAACAGGTGGGCACGAAGCTCCGGGTCCGTCAGTTGGTTGCTGGCTTCCTTCAGAGGCCCGAAGGCGGCCCAGTATGCTCTTCTCCTCCTGTTAAGTTCTTTCCTCAAGTCGTTCTCCATGTTCATCGAACGTCCGAGATACACGTAAGAATACGTCTCCACATGAACTGAGTCTTCTTCCGATTTATTCGCAGTCCGATCTTCTTCCCCACTTCGTTTAGTTCCTTCAGCATCGTCTCTGCTTCAGTGATACATCGTCCTCTTCTCGAGCAGTTTCACTGTTCGAGAAGACGATGTCATCCGCAAAACGAAGGTTGGATATGAATCTCCCATCAACTCGTATGCCTCTCTCTTCCCAGTCCAGTGACTTCATCACCTACTGCAAGGCCGCGGTGAACAGCTTCGGCGAAATTGTGTTGTCGAAATCTAAGCATGCCACCGTTACTTGAAGAATTTTTTGTCGCCCTCTCCCACAAAAAAAATCTCTTCGACAGGCATTGCTTGCCTCTAATGACTTCGACAAGCTGTAGCGAGATTTTACTCAGTGAATACAAATTCTAGGCCCGTATATATAAGCATTCCTGCACGTAAGGGGAAAGCAAAAGCACGCTACCTTTTGACAAGGGTATCGTGGAAGTTAGGGTGTAGATGTTATCCTTAGGTACACCGCGTCCTTTTAGGATCTAGTGAATGCTTAACGGTAAAGATCTATCGTCTGGGAGTCCCATTAGGTACATTACCGTGAACGTAAGCTAGCTGCTTTCAGCTTAGTTATCAGTTTATAATCAAGAACCTTACCAATTGCTGAGAAATCAAACAAAATCAAATCTTATGTTTGTATCTAGGTATATGGTACAACGCGAAAAATTATGAAGTGAAGATGGTTTTGGGTAGATTGATGAAATTTGGGTAGGCTGCTGTGGGTGTATGGGGTCCTACCATAAACAATAAAAAGCATTTTTAACAAATGAATTGATATTTGTGTTCGGCTTGTCGAATAGCCCACTCGGCGAATTCTCGGGGTATGATGTTCCAGTGTTTTAGTTACTGACCGTTGTTCTCAGCAGCCGTGCGTGCAGTGAATCGCCCGACTTCATGAGGGCCCCTGATCTCCACTTGACTTCAGATTCTAATTCTTTTTTGGTGAGCCAATCAAATCAACCTCTAGCAACAAATTCAGACAATTTCAGATTATTCCGTACTGTCTAGGTTGCGAACGGCTTTTTTCTCATAATTCCCGTAAGTCCCGAAAATTCACTAGCTTTCAAAATGCTTTTAAAAAATTCCATTTCGTATCAAAATCGAATAATTTGTTCTTTTGTAGCACACATCACAGTCTACTTACTGCTAACGTTTGGATGCGCCACACTCAAAGAAGAAAAAGTTACGAAAGAAGTTGTAAAGCTTAGTTTTCAACCTAATAAATAGATGTAATTTATATATATGTATATATATACATATATATAAATACAAGTGTCGCATACTGAATCCATGTGGGAGTTCCAGCCTTTTGTTGATTGCAGCATAGCAGCGATAGTGTAATCGCTATTTTGAAAGCCATGTCGAGAGCAAAAACCTTGAGAATAATATGTATTAACTGGTCTGTAAGTTAGACAAGTCACTGATTGTTGAGGATCACGTCAACAAAAGATACCTTCTAACTTAACGGGACTTCGCTCAGCCTTCTCCTCAAATATATGGAGGGCCGAACATGATATGAGCTGTGGATTTGACATTGGCAAGAAGTTTGGAGTGAGTGAGACGATTTTGGCCGTTGGATGATACAATTCAACGCTTTGCTATCATGCTCCATCGTTTTGGGAAAAATTTGAAGAAATCTCTGCTGCTTTAAGGGTTTACCTCTGCAAACGATTTTTCGGATAGCATTCCGCTTTATTCCATTCTAGTAAACGGATTTTCCGTAAGCAAATTACTATTTTTCATCAGTCTTGAAACCGTTCTGAACAAGAAGCTTTATTCATTGCTTCTGGAAACCTAATAAAGGAAATTATCGCTACGAAATGGCCCCATATCTGGGTCCGGCACAGATATGGAAACGAGCTGGACTTCGTTTTCGTGGCCGAAAAGACGTAAAATTTTTTTAGTCGACGTCTCGTTTTTGAAGGATTTTTTACAGGTATGGTTTGGGGTCAAAGGGGACTTCGTAAATTTTGGCGGAAGTCAGGGGACTCGTTTTCAAACCTAGAAACGGATTCATGCCGGGCCCTGCCCACATGCTTTCCTTCCTAACAGTAAAGGCCTCTAAAGTGAGCAGGGATATCAGATTGCTAGATAAGCGGCCTTCAAAAGGATCAAATAAATTTACAGCATGGTAGAGTACACGGTATGCCGAGGAATAATTTGCACATCTCATCAAATCTATACCACGCGCTAATTTACTCATATTAATCAGCTGTCCAGCAATGCACCAAACTCTTCAATTTCACTTTCTTAAAATTTTTATGAATGTACATGATCATCTGTGGGGGTAGCATAACAATTCAGCATATTAACAGATGCATGATCACTATTTCCTGATAGTGCCAAGCCAGCAACTCTGTTTAGAAGAAAATCGTTTGCGAAGATCAAGTCTACAAATGCTGATTGTATTAAGCTGACCTTAAAGGCACCGTCAGGGCAGAGCTGGCCGAGAGGTTAGTGCCCTTGACTACGGCGAGGAAGGTCACAGGTTCGGTTCCGCGGCGGGTCTAATTTCTTTGGCAAAAAGCTCTGCCCACGAATCCAGCGTCAGGCTGCTGATCCAAAGGAAAGCAAGCGACAAGCCGGCTGAAGAAGAAACCCCGTCGCATCACAATGCTCTTTTAATGTCTCATCAAGAATCTCGATTACAAGCTAGGGCGTCCCCCGGAGGCGACGCGCATTTGAGCCCGACAAATGCGAACAGTAAGCGAGGGTTACCGTCCCAACAAGATGAGCGGGGACGGCCAAAGAAGCTAGTTCATCATCATTACGAGTACAAACGACGGAACAAGTTAT